TCCTGTCCCCTTTTTTGGGGTTTTTTTGGTTTGTTTTTTAATGGTGTGTGTTTTGGGGGGGGGGGGTTAGGGGGGAAAAGGGGGTCCCTTTGGGAAATATCCTGCCCTGACTCTAATCTCCCCCCCGCCCCCAGCCAGGGACTGGTTACAAATATAACAGGGGGGACTCTCACGTTTTTTAAAACAATAAGGGCAAGAAGTGGTAAGTTCAGGCGTTTTCCATTATTGGAAGGTCTTTTGGTGAGAGGTTTCTCTACCCCCCCCTCCCAATTTTGCACGGCTTTTATCTATCTGCAGGTTACTTAGGACTGGAAGTCCCAAAGCCAGCCTTCCCGGCCACTTATTTTGTCATGGGGGTGATTGACAGGAGGGGGGGGTTGAGTGATGGGGGGGCAGAGAGATCATCCTCTGTATTGTTGGGCCCTTCTTTGGACCTCCCCCCACTTCCTTTGGAGCTGCTGCTTCTAACGGGACTTTTGTGCTTCCCTGCTTTCTCTCCCTCCCCCCCCCCCACATCATTGGCATTGGCGATCAGGGGGTAGTGGGCGCTGCTTGAGCATCTGAATCGCTGGCCATGGCTTCGGGCATCGGGTCGCCATCGCCGTGCTCCGCCGGCAGTGACGAGGAGGAAATGGAGATTCTGATGAACAACAGCATCCACCAGCACCAAGGTACCCCACAGGGTGAGACTCCCCGTGACTTCTTTTTTTGGGGGGGAGAAGGACATCGCAGTGGCTTATCGCTGAAGCAAGGAACAAAAGAGGTCTTCTGTTTGGGGGCGTGTTTGAACCAGGGGGGTGTCAGCTGGATCACGAGGTGCACCATCCAGGGACCTTGTAATGAGGCTGGACCCGTAGGGAGCCATTTGGCCTTGTGAACTGTTCAGCCAGCGCTTTCTGATATCCGGACCGCCTGTGGCAAAAGAACCCAAAGTTCGGGTCTGGGGTGGGAGGTCGTGGAGTAAAAATTGTTTAGGACTTTTCATTTGGGGCTTCTGATGAGCCCCTGCCTACTGTCGCTTGCATACTTAGCTGCCGCCTGCCTGGTCTATTTCTGTCGCTTCCTGCTTCGGCCTTCCCTTCCCCCCCCCACCTAAAGAGACTTTTCTTCCCAACCGTTCCAGACAGGCAGCTTGCTCTCCTGCCTGTGCGTTCTGCTCCAGTTTGACTAGCGGATGCAGGAAGACGCCGCACAAGGGAAAGTTCTGTTTACTAGGAACCCACGTGTATGTTGCAGAAAAGCGTTTCTCTTCTCACTTGCGTCCATTTCCCAAAATACGGAGTTCGTTTCTTGGCTGTAGGGGTGGGAGCGTAGCATGTGTTGGCGATGGAGAGAGGAGGGGATGATTGTGGATGTTGGGGGGGGGAGCCCAAATTTAAGGGTGCTGACGTGAGCCTGAGATAAAAGGCCCTTGCCTGGCTTTCCTCTTCTCTTTTGCCCACTTAAGAGCTCAAGAGATTCTCTGTCCAAAATGCTCTGTGCCCTGGGCTACTTCGTGACCCACTTTTTCTCCCCAACCACACCCAATGTTGTTTCTTGTGGGTCTCGCCTCACCCGCAGTCCTGCCTTTATATGAAGGGAGGCCTGCCCAATGTGGTGGGGAGGTGGGGACATCTTTTACCTTTGGCTTTGGTCATCTTCAGCAGGGTTTGTGACTGGCTGTTGGATGGAGGTGCCTTCTCCTGAGTGAGGTTGAGGGCACCGGAGTCTGGCTTTGGAAGTGCTTCTTGTGCAGAGATTCGGTACTGTCACTGATAAAAGTGATTTTTTGTTAATGGCCCTCCCTCCCCCAGTCCTTGAGGTTTAGGGATGTGGCTTCTTGGGGTAGTCTGGCTTGTAGTTCAAAAAGCATTCCTCTAGTCAGAGGCTAGGGTTAGTATTGCTGCCGGATATTAGAAGAGCCGGGGAGGGCGCTCAGATCTGCATCTGTGGCGGCAGTCTGGGAGGACGGAGGATGGGAAAGCCATGCTGGAGGAGGAGACGGCAAGGGAAATACTTCTGGCACAGGATACATTTGCCGAACGTAGGCCTCCAATTTCCCCTCTGCTCCGCACCTTTCGGGTTGCAGCAAACTGCTGTGACCTGTGGCTTTCCCCCATCCTGCCCAGCGCCTGTGGTTAGGAGGCCATTTTCCCTTGGAGGGAGAGCGAGTGACTCCGGCTGCGTGTAATGGGCGGGGGTGGCTGGCTGATGAGGGGGGAGGGGAGAGGAGAAGGAGAATGGCTGGTTGCTGTGGATCCTGTCACAAAGGAAGCCGCCGGCTGGCTGTGCCCCTCCGGGCTCATGGGGGTGGGGTGGGGGGGGGGGGAACAGATGGGAGTGTGGTCTGCGGGGGGGGGGGGGGACGTGTTGGGGGGGGAGGAGAGGCAACTGAGTTTGAAGATTGCATTTGCATAAAGAGGAGGTGATTGCTGCGGCTGGCACCTGAGGAGGCACCTGGCGGTTGAAATGGAAGCTCTGAACAGCAATAGGATGGGAAGTCTGGGCAGCTGCTGCTGAGTTTGCTGTAAATTGTAAAATAAATAAATAAATTCCTCCAGGATTGTTGAAAGATGGGAGAGAGTGCTTGACCCTCCCACCCATCACCGCTGAGCTCTTAGGTTCTCCCCGCCCAGGTTCTCCCCGCTCCCCTTGAATACTCTCAGATAATTTTCATTTGGAAGTGGCAGTGGTTTGGTGTTGAATGCCACGCACGGGGCCCATACATTGCCTGTTCTTGCAGTGGTGCCTGGACTAAAAAAAAAAAATCTAGCACACTTTTTTCCCTTTTGAAATATATGGCAAGTGGGGATTAGAGTGATTCGTGGCTACCTGCCATGACGACTAATAGGAACCCCCAAATTCAGAGGCAGTAAACCTCTGAATACCAGTGCCAAGAGGCAACTTCGGGGGAAGGCCTCAGCCTCTATGCCCTGTTATTGGACCTCCAGAAGAACCAGTTGGCCATTGTGTGAGACAGGATGCTGGACTAGGTAGACTGCTGGTCTGATCCAGCAGGGCTCATCTTACATTCTTATGTCCACCACTGGGGAACACATAAGTCTACAACATGATGGTCCTGACATACAATAAGTTGTTCTTAACAAGAAGGTTGAAGAGTGGGAAACTTATCATCAGGATGTTCTTATGAAGGCCTCAGTCTCTATGCCCTGTTATCGGACCTCCAAAAGAAGTGGTTGGCCACTGTGTGAGACAGGATGCTAGACCAGATGGACCACTGGTCTGATCCAGCAGGGCTTTTATGTTCTTGGGAGGACAATAGAGCCAGTGAGCTGTATGGCAGTTGTTCTCAAACTGTGGGTGGCCCTTCATGGAACCACACAACACCTCAAGGGAGAGAGGTTGTGTTCAGGAAAGGGATATGTTCTGAAGGTAAGTGGAGCTTCCTCCTTCTACCAAGACCTGGGTGACTCATGTGAGATTTCGAGAGATTGTGCTGCCCCTACTGTTTTGTCACCCGAATCTGGGTTGGGAAGAAGCAAATACAGGAACATCTGCTGCTTTCTTTTAGGGGGAAGCTCCTTAAGTGAGAGTCTTCAAGAGGGAGAGAGAGGTCCCATTCTACTCCTCTACTGGTATTGGGCTATTAGTGTAGTTCACAACGTCATGCAGCATGAGGAAGGAAAGATTGGATTTATACCCCGCCCTTCACTACCCAAAGGAGTCTCAGAGCACTTACAATCTCCTTTCCCTTCCCCTCCCCACGACAGACACCCTGTGAGGTAGGTGGGGCTGAGAGAGCGCTCTCGAGAATTGCTCATGAGAGAACAGCTCTGAAAGAACTTGTGACTGACCCAAGGTTACGCCAGAATCTGCATGTGGAGGGGTGGGGAATCAAACCCGGTTCTCCCGGTTTAGAGTCTGCACTCCTAACCACTACACCAAACTGGCTCTCACAAGGAGCTCTCACACAGGAGGCTGTGAGTGAGAATCTTGGCTCTCTGGAATAGATTATCGGTGTAGCTTGTGTCCCCTGCAGAAGGACAAAGTGACGAAAGGTGGAGGGGTGTTTTTAAAAAGTGACAAAAGGTGGAGGGAGAACTTTAAAAAAAAGGGTTGAGGAACTCAGCTGTACGATGGGGTTTGATAGACTGGTGAGGGGGAATCGGGGCAATGCAAGCATGGTCCAGCTCAACAGTATGGTTGTGGGGTTCGATGCACCATGTGGATTTTGGAAATTTAGATGTCAACTCCCCCCCTTTTACTATTCTCCCCCCCCCAGAACCCGAAGAAGAGCCAGAGGAAGAGCTGTTATCCGAGGCAGAGATGCCAAAAATTAAGAAGAAGAAAAAGCCCAAGAAACTGAAGGAACCCAAAGTGCCCAAGCTCAGTAAGCGCCAGAAAAAAGAGGTGAGGGAGTAGAGCGGGACTAGGGAGGGGGAGGAGAGAGTCGTGCTGTGCGGATGTGGGTCTGAATGCCGGGG